ACATTGGAATGAAATCTGTCACTGCAGCATATTTCAGGTGCATGCAACTGTAATAGACTACTAATTTCAGTCTTATTTCCAAATCTCTGATTTTGTAGTAGGTTTTTATAATTAAAAACAAACAAAATCCCACACTTACCATAGTTCTTTCTGCAGTATCAGTGCATCATTTCTCTGAAAGATTTATGCTTAAAGGTCGCCTTGTTCTAGAGAGTAGCTACAGTTCTTCTCTGTGGATTGTGCTTTCCTCTTCAGCTGCATCATATTGCTGCTAGCCAGGGCTCTGCAACCACCTGATCAGCACTAGATTGGAGGACTGCAGAGCTGTTGTTGGTGCTGACTCAAATTTATTGCAAGGGGTGCATGCTCAAAAAAATAGATTTTTAATTGAGTTACTAAACTTCTCTATATGCATGATTTTCAAGATGTGGCTCCATCAAAATGAAATCTGTAAGTTTGACTACACAAGTAACATCCAGTAGAATTTCTATAGCTCAGCTTTGCTCAATTGTCAGTTCCACCAAAAAGAACCTATTTACAATGCTATTCATATCTGCTGCTGCCTTCATTTTAATCACCATGTTTCTAAAATGTATTTACAATTTAACTCTGGCTTCCTGTGTCTCAGCCGTCTTAAACTATACAGCCAAGTTCTTTCATAATACTTCGCAACTGGAAGTATATACAAAATTTAATTTTTTTCCTTTGAGCTGAAATTGTCTGTATATCCTATCAGCTACATTATAGTGAGATTTTTAAAACTATCTTCAGTCTCAGTCGGTATAACAATCTGTAGCTCTATGCTATTAGTTTTTAATTTATACACACAGACACATACACACTTAAAATCCTTTATTTTTATAAAGCTTCTGCTCATTGTCTCCTTCTGTAGCTATTTTTATCTTAGCTTTTTCTCTATCATTGAACAAAATGTAGATATAGAACGTAATGTTTTAATTGTCAATGACAATTTTAAAAAAATTCAGTCTTTTATCTATTTTTATGTGCTTAACAATATGCTCTGTGCAACACATACAAATGCATACTCCCTTCTCCAAAAAGCAATTTTAGAATTATAAACTGTTTCCTCCTTTGCTGACATGTTAAGGACAGCTGGCTTCAGCATCTAGCAGCTTATCCTTATGAAACGAAATATACAGTATGCTAAATTCTGTTCCAGATCATATATCCTCATTAAAATAATTAAGATTCAAATACAGGGCCATGATCTGCTATCCTATTATTGCTAAAAGGTTTACAGGTGGGATCTCCCTTGTCTGGCAAAATCTGAGTGATCCCAAACCTCGGAGTTTGCTGGACCAGGGGAGGTCAAGGCTCCCCTCCTGGCTGTAGGCCCTGCTCCCAAGTACCAGCCCTGGCCCACTGGACTCTGTTCCCTGCCTCTGGCCACGCTGCCACCAGCCCCAGTTGGAGCTGTGCCCCCCCACTGCACCAGCCCTGGATGGAACTGCCCCCCACTTCCGGGCATGCTGAGCCCCTGCACTGTGCCATTTCAGGCTATACTCCCTGCTGCCAGCCCTGCTGCCTCCAGCCCAGCCATGGCTGTGCTCCCCAATGCCAGCCCCAACCAGGACTGTACTCCTGACCACATCTGCCCTCGTGGGGCTGCGCTCCCCACTGCCAGCCCAGCATGCACTTCTGATCCTGGAGAGCTGGAGCTCTCTGGTCCTGCAATATCTGTGGTCTGATGATGTTGAACAAGAGTCCCAGATTTGAGGATTTATCCTGTACTCAGATGAAACTGAAGGCAGAATCATTATTGCCAGTATTGATCCATGAGCCAGAAAGACTACAGTTGAATTAATTTTTAGCTTCACTTTTCACAGCTCACAATTAGAAAACCTTCTTTACTTGTAAACTGAATTAGATATTTTTTATGATGGGACAATAAGCTTAGAATATCAAAGCACCATATTTTACAGGAGCCCCGTTTTCAGAGTAGAGTTATTAAGTACAGACATCCTTCTTTGACTTATTTTTTTCAAACCTAAACAGATTTTATTCATATGCTTTTATAGTTTCTTCCTAGAATCTTACAATTTTCCATAAAAAGGATTTTTCTAATACAGGCTGTTTGTATTTTGAGTCTTTTTGATTAATCTTAAATATGGATTTTCATGGTAACTCAATATTAAGTCTTGTCAGGATTTCAGTTAGTTTCTTGGTTCACATTCTTTATATTTGTAATCCATTTTTAAGATGCTGGTCTCCAAATCTGCGTTCATATAAATAAGTTATATCCAGTTGCATATATTTTTTACTATAAAGCATTCAGGAGAATTTTGTTGAATGAGACCCATTACAAATTCCACAAAGATTCATCTTTGCAGAAGCTGTTACTGCATTTGACGGCTTCAGCATTGTAAGTGTATTTGTCAATCAATATCCTTTTCCAAATATACAATACAGTATTTAACTCTGAGGCTCATGGCATATTGTATTAATTTAACTTTTGCTAAGGTAAATGATATCCTTTTCGTTAAGACTTGCATTTTACAGCTAAAAAAATTGTATTGTGCTCAGAGCTTTTCACTATTTTGCAAAATCTGGGCCCAATTCTGCAATCTTTACATGTCAAATGGAGTTTTACTCCAGCTAAAATTGTAGGATTTTGTTCTCTTTAGTAATATTACACTTTGACCCTACACCTTTGGGAAGTTGTGCTCAGTGGCTTTTGTGGCTTTGAGTTCAAAATCCATCTCAAGCCTGATTCTTTCTGTTTGTTCTTATGTACCCATAATAAACTTCCTTATTCTCTTCTTCCCCTTCTTTGTACCATATTTCACATTGCTCATAATTATCTTGATGCACTTTATCTTCCAATTAAACGTTCCATCATATAACCACTTTTCCAGACCTTTATTCTCCTTGCAGTGGATAAAGGAGTAGATTTTCATTGTATGTCTTGATCTCTGAATGTTGAATAGGGCTTAAATCAATTTTCTCTGGCCTAAAATTTATAAAATGTCTTAATGAGCATATATGCTGCAGTAGGCCCTTGCACCAGTGATAAGTATTTAGCATTGGCTGAACTTTTTTTTAGGAAACCTGCAATCACCTAACTTTCTCTTCTGTTAAGCTACAAATATAAAGTTCCTTCTTAGTGAAGATAGTGGTTAGTCAAAGTTAACCTTTTTTTACTGTTCTAGCAAAAAATTGAATGTATACCAGTAGATTTTCTTGCAAATGGGTGAGACAAAGACAACCCCTAGATTCTTTCTTTCTTTTGTCCAGAGCATTGGATCTAAGATTAGCATTGATAGGGTCTCAGTGTTTTACTATTAATAGTTTTTCCAGGGTTAACTTTTTTTACAGGTGGTAAAGTTTGTAATGCACCTGAAATGAACTGGGTGGATGTCATGAGGGCTAGTTGTGAAAGTGCTTTGAGATTTCATGTGAGCTAGAGAAGTGCCACATAATATGCACTAAATAGACCTAAATTTATATGGAAAAAATATATAATAGGTAAGTGTGTTAAGGCACTAACATTTTGCTTTTAATTAGACGTTTTGTGTTTAACAAAGTAAAAATTTAGTGAATTTTATTTTCTGTACAAGTCACCAAGACACTTTTGTATTCAAACATTTTATTAAAATTAAGTAAATATGAAGTTTGTTGCTAAAGTGGTGGTTACTTCAAAGTTATACAGCTTTAGAAAAGCAAACACAAAATGTAAAACTTGTCTTTCTATAAAACTGGATTTGTTGCATTTTGAAAACTGTATATAAGTAACTTTTCTGTAGCTATTAAAATCTGTAAATACCAGCTCTCCAATTTATGCACTTAGTTCCCATTTTGTCTTTATCTACCATCCATATCTTGCACAGAAGTGAATAGTCTCAAGCAGATAGTAGGGCTATTTCCATTTATAAAATGCTAATATTTATTAAAAGCTGTAACTTCATACAGTTTTTAATCCATCTCCACTTCTCACATAGCCATTTGCTTTGAAAAGTGTGAAGTATGTTGCAAAGCAGGTTCCTTCAATTATTGAGGCAATGTTGGTGGCAGTGGCAATGGTAAATTTACATCTTGATTAGTTAAGTCAGGAGGGAGAGGAAACTGGCTCTGTGCATCTAATTTAAATTCAGGAGATTCACTGATTTCAGGACATTGATTTTCTTGGACTTCGTTAAGCCAGTCAGGTGGAGGTAGCAGATCAGATGATTCAGGTGGAGGTAGAATTGGGTTGAGAGGAGGATTGCATACATTACTTGGTCCATCTGAAACAGCAGGTGGGGTCACATTGGTGGTAATTGAAGATGAAACCAAAATGTTGGCAGCAAATGGGGCAGAGCCTCCCTTTAGCTTAGGGGTAGATTGGCTGCCCTCCTCTTTTGTGTTGCAGCTGGGGGATGTCTCAGGCCTTTCTTTGAATTTAGAGCCTTCAACATTATCCCGTAAGAGCGAGCTTCGGTTAAATTTCCATGGCAAGATAGAGAGAACTGATGCACGCTTTGTGGTCTGCTCCATGTCTTTAATTCCCCCCTCAGTGACTTCAGGCATGTCTCCATCTGCAAATGGAGAGCGACCTGCCCAATTTGGATCAACTACAGCTGGGTTTTTTGAGCATTTCCACAACAGAATTATAATGCTAACTATTATCATACTAGTCAAAATTATGCCAATTAACATCGCAGCTATCCAGCTCCCATCACTGTGTGCACTTTCTTCTGCTGCAGTGGCATGAGTTGTCATGGTAGCTGATGAAGCCTTTTTTGCAGTTTTGTATGAGTTGCCAAGTTCATTTGATTGGTACAGAAGCTTGGGAGCTGGATTTCCCTTCTCTTCCCCAAGACGGATAGATCTATTTCTTGATTGTTTCAGAAAAATAGTTGATGATAGGATTTTTGGAGGCATCTGTGTCTCCATAGAAACTGATCTCCACAATTGTCCATAAAAGAAAATCAGGAATATATATATGGTGTCCATTTTCTTTCTGCTGACCACATGCAGTGTTTTATACTGTCTTCTAAGGTAAAGAGAGAATACAATACAGTTAGATCTAAATTCAGAATTCTAATCTAGATTTGTTTTAAAATTAAAATCTTATCTTCATTAATTTGCTTTTGACTATCAACAGTAAGATTGATGTCACTATGTAAATGGAAGAGCTACTGTTCTTTTAAAACACTGCTTTTGTTGAACTAAGTATCATGTTTGCATCTGACTTGAGTGGGAGGTGACTTCCGATATCAGATCCTAAATTTCCTCTTGTGTGGTTTTATTGAAAAAGAGAAGAGCCAAAATGTCCTTTTTTGGCAACTGGGAAAGAACATAGAAGAGAAAGCTGTAGAAAAGAAATAAAAATAATGACCTGTATGGATTGTCAGATTACTTTGTAAAGTTCAGGTCTTCGCTTGTAAACAGGAAATCAAATGCAAATAGCTCATATTAACAGTGTTTTTGCATAGTTTAACATTTATTAGTTACAAGTAGTGTCCCAAAATGTCATGTACTTTTTTTTCAATACTTTTTAACCTTTGTTTAGCACTCTCAGTGCTCTTTGAAAATTAATACTTGGAGCATACCACTTGAAAATTTTCTGCTGCGGTTACTGGCATGGAACTAGAATTTCAACAGTAGGTCAACAGTAGATCTAAATGAACTCCTGAATACATAATAGTTGTGGATTGAGAAATAAAATGTTAATGTAAAGTCACTTGCAGTAATGAAGTGGATGGTTTTTTGCTATTACTGTTTAAACTTCAAGTATCAGAAGCATCAGTGTAAATGATAAGATTAATAAAGCAAGCATTCAGTATGCCTAATACATGCTGCTGCTTTTTTGTTCCTTCCATATTTAAATTGCACAAAGGGATAGTTTACCAATTAAATGTAATGTTGAGAACTCCGTTCACTGTGCATATTAATAAAAGCTCAGATGTTTTAATTTACAATTATACATATTTGAGTGTTAACCAGAATATAAACATATCTAGACAGTAAGTTAAAACTTGTGGAACATGTCACGTTTCTGAATTAATATTCAAACATTAACATAAAAGTTCGTGGAGAAATTCTAGGTTATCTAAAAATGTGAACTGTTGATTAGCCTTTGAATTTTTTTTGAGAATTATTGCATCTAATAGCAGTATTTAAACAGTAGAGAAATGTCTTCAGAACACTAAACCATTTCCTAAAACAGAATACTGTACATGTCATAAATTAATGGCAAAATATTCTATACCATCAAGTTGTAAAATACAGGCTAATGTCACAAGCAATAAATAGTTAGCCAAAGCAGTCAAATCTTATCAGAAAATTGTTCCTTACCTGTATAATGTCTCTTGTAGTAAACAGGCTTTCATATCCTAAGTTAACATTTTGCTGTTTGAAAACTTAAGTCAGAATGGGTATTAACACACAAGAGCTCTAAAATGGCATACTCTCTCACTTTGAATTTTTTGTATATAAAGAGGAAGTTTATCAACACTTGCTGCAGGAAGTAAGACAACAGAGATGACTAAGAATTAACGTTCAAAACTTGAAGACCAAATTTGGGATATGTTGTTAATGTTTGCAGTATTTGCTTAAGATATGCGTAGTAGTATTAATGCTTATTTACCTGTGTCTAGAGAAAACATGGGTAATGGTAATTTTGTATATTATGTAAAAGTGGATTGAGACTAACACAATCTTATTCGTATTTTCAGTACTTTTTCTGGTGAAGTGCAGCAATTATTACTGTTCAGAGAGGCTCAGATGAATATCATTTAGACCAGAAGTTATCAAATTGTGGTCCGCGGAGAGCTGGCTGATCTCATGGTGATGGTTCCCTTATGTATTTTCATTTCCTAAATTGCACTAAAAGGCAGCTAAAAACATTAAAAATGTTCTTAATATTTCTGTTCCCAATAGGCTACTTTTGTAGTTGCCATGAGGGGCTGTACTTTGTGAGACTATATAAATGAGGGGTTATACTATTTGAAATCCTCAGCGTTCCATTTGAGCAATGTCAGGTGCTTGAATCCTGCAAAAAATGCAGAGTAGTAGCTACTTACTATATTCATCTTGTAGATGAACGGAGGTTGGAGTGCTTCTCAGAAAGAGAGGATTAGGAGCAAATGTGCGAAGGAGTACAGTATTTGGGTATACAATAGTCAAATCATAGAAAAAAGTTTACTCCACAGTATTTGCACTTTATATATATTATGTGCAGAGCAGGATGAGTACTCTTATTTAAGTTCCATAGCAATTTAATTCAAGGGGCTGTTAAAAATGTGCAGTATATGACATTTACATGTATATGAAGGATCTTGTATATGGTAAAATCATTTCTTAAATGAGACTCACAGTAAAAAGTGTTCTGCTGTATCTTGAGCTGAACACTTTTGGTGGCTTCTGTCTTCATGTTTTCTCCTAGTAGCTGGTAGAGGAGACTCGAACTACATATTTGCTCTCCGGGGGAACTGTAACATAATATAGTATTGATGTCCTGATCTGATGCCTTTGGAAACAAATGAAAAGGCTCCCCCTGACCTTAGGAGGAGTTGGCTAAGGCCCTTGATCTCTATTGTGATTGTTCATGTATAGGAAGTTAAGTTCTGCAGGTCTGCTGGAACAGAGGAGGTAAAGCAACATGCTACAGTGATGTTTGCTCTCCAAGGGTGCCCAGAAACAAATAGCAGTCAGATTTTTTGGTTCCCTGAAACCATGGGAAGCACCACAGTCTATCCTAACCAGAGGAGCAACAGCCAAATCCAATGCTTAAAACTTCAGTGTCTGTTGTTGCAGGCTCACACCCCTATCCTTTGCTTTTGGATGAACAGAGGCAGCAAGATAAAAATATTATCATATGTGACAGGGTATTTATATTCACTTCAAACAGGGTTCCTTTATGGAGTGAAAGAGGATCCATTTGGTGCTGAAATAGGTTCCATGTCCTTATTTCCACAAGCTTTAAAAATGAACACTTTGTGGCATCAAAAGACATCCGTTGGAGATGGGATATGTATGGGGAGTTTGGAAAGACCAACCTGTAGTTTTCAGAAAACACTCGTCAGCCCAGTTCAACAAACCTGGTTCCATGCTGTTTCTTGGACTAAATGTCAAGCCTATGTATCAGTTCATTTTCAGTTAACTGGGGAATTTGCCCTTGTTGAAAATAAACTTTTTAGGTAACTCCTCCAAGGTACCTTTTAATATCTCTGTCATGAATCATTTTTGCAAGACTTCATGTTTTCTCGGAGTTTTGTTTTAACCACATAGCTTAGAGGTACATTATTGTATTTTTCTTGTCTAAAAATGTACTGTACCTGAATCACTATGCCATCCAAGAAATCCTCATGGTTTTTCTAACTTCTTTATGACTTTACAGGTGTTTTGATTGCAAGCTGTCTAGAGGCAGGGACAGTTATTTGCTAGGGTAGGCATCCCTTGCTCTGAGGCATCTGGTATTGGCCACTGTCAGCAGACTGGATACTGAGCTAGATGGACCGTTGGTCTGACCCAGTATGGCTGTTCTTATGCTGTGTTTCTACAGTGGCTTAATAACCTGATTGAGGTATCTATGTGCTGACCCAATTAGGTGTGTGAAAGGTGAAAGGTTAACCAGTAAGCATCCTTAACAGGTGATGTTTACTGGTTCTGATTAACTGGTAGAAGCTGGAGCAGCTCCGTGTCTGCCGCCAGCCCCACAGGGGATCCATCGTGGTCAGTGGGGATGTTAAATAGCATGTAATAGAATAGCTGAGTAACTGCATGAATTCTTGGCGATTAGTCGACTATTCTGTAGTCCATGGGGAAGGGCCAGCAGCCAGTGCAATCCAGCCCCACTTCCGGGGAGCCTAGGCTTATGAGTTAATTGTAGTGTCAGCTACCTCTTTACGTCCCTAGAAGTCAGGGACTTTTGGGAGCCAGAAGCCAGCCCCAGTGTGGGGCTGAGAATAGGAGCCCTATGGGCTGGGATGGAGCAGTTCCCTGCTTGCATCCCATTTAGTCAGTAAACAGATTAACCAGGATTTTGCTTTTAGTCCCAATAAAGATGTTTAATTGGTATGTATCCATCCCCATATTTCTGGAAGGAGAAGATTTTTCCTTAGAAGATCTCTCTTCTATTGTGGCAATATAAATATTAATCAGTTGGGAACACTCATTTTGAAGAGGTATGACTTAAATGTTTTATCACATCTGTGTGCAAATATGATTAGTGAAATTATCGGTAAATTGATAAATACAAATGTCTTGCACCCAGTGACTAACTTAAATTTTACAAGCTTGAAGTGCCTTGCTAACAATTGTAGATTGTTGTAGTTGTGACTGTTAGTATGCAGAACAAAAAAGAAAATGTTGAAATTGCTAGTTTAATTTTTAAAAATGCCAGGAATTCATTGACTTACCTGTGAAGCAATTCATCTCTGCTTAGGTACAGAAATAATATGCACAAACAAGGAGCCTCTCCAGTTTCCACACACTTTAGTATAGTGAAACCTGTTACAAATTTTCACCCATCAGACCAGTTTAGAGGAGCTAAAAGTTCTATTTAGGGGGATACTTGATAGTAATGGTCTTATGTTAGAGTAGTTCTTGATAGGTGGTCCTTAGTGCATGTGTCATTGTAGTAATTTTCTGGATAAAGTTAGCTAGGTGAAAGTAATAAAATTTAATCTTCAGTCTTACAAATGAGCAAATCGACAACAAAAACAATTATTTAAGCACGTTTCTTTTTCATTTGCTAGAGTGAAACATAGTTTTTCCCTTAAGAAATATTTTGGAGAATTAATCTAGAAGATCTTTCGCTACAATAGAAATCCCAATCTGTTATATACCATAATAACAAATTAGTCAAATTATTTCAAAATCTACTGTATGTTTTTATTGGTGTTACCAGATGAGAGTTTTACTCCCACCCTGTTGCATATAAAACAAGCTTTATATTTTTAGGACAAACTTAAAGCTCAGCAAGTACTGTTGACTTCATATGAGAGCAGAAATCATATCTTGGCTGTACAATATACTTGCTTTAAAGTTAGCTGCCAGCACAAGTCACTAAAAACGCGAGGTTTTTAGGGGTTGACTTATACAACATGTAATATATAGGAGCTCAGACTTCTTCCCAGTCCAAAATACATCTTAATACAAACTTAGTCTGAGGGAGCACTGCCCCATTTGTGGCCTTCTCCTCTCATTTGTTATCGTGCAACCTCTAACTACATCATTTGCATGCATAAGTTATTTTTAGCTGTTTCTTAATATAATTTAGCAGATGGCAAGGAGGAGGAGGAGAGCGCCATGTGATCAGCCAGCTCTCAGCATACCTTCAGTGGTCAATAGACCACAATCTGAGAAGCTCTGAAGTACAAAACCATGCTTAGGAGCTCTTGAGTATTTTGTTTGAAATATCAGAATTGTAATCTAATCTACTGGTTTGTGGATCATCCATAAATAGCATTCTACAGTTACTAGGCTATTGGTCCCTCCCCTGTGACTGTTGCGGGTTCCTTTCCTAATGTCCCAAATATTTTGGTGCTTTATCCCCACTAAGCTCTATTGCCCACCATTTTCTTTTAAAGCCGTAATGGATACGTCTCCCTTTAAAACAATCTCGGATACTGTTTTAAATGTTTGAAAGGTTGATTGCATACAAATTGGGGCGCACTGTCCTATGGCGCTTTGTGCTACTACATAGCATTCCCACTATCATGCAGTGGAAAACCAAATCCACAATGAGAGCCTGGTTCTCCTGTCTGGTGCTATAAGGTTACTTCCAGGCTACATTGTCATCTCTGTCAGGAATCTGAGCTTTACTTAAATCTCAACTACAAAATTGGTTATGATGTTGTCACATGGTTTTGAAGTTGCATCTTCATTTTTCTGATTAGTAACTCTTCCACTAGTGAGTGTCTCAGTTGTTCCAGTTGCATTATTCCTTTGAATTGTGATAGCCGTCTCTGACATCAGGTCTTGCATCATCAAGTCAACCCCTATTAGCTCTTTAGACTTCCTCTGCCATGTGTCTGATCCAGCTGGCCATAAACTGTTAGTAGCCAGAAAATCACCATTATTCCTGGGTATGCGCCTGCCTTGCTTAGATCTTTTGAGGTACGATACCTTATTTGCCATTACCACAGTTGACAGAAGTAGAAAGGTGCAAGCAAGAAAAAGCACTGCTATTATAATGAAACAAATTAGTATCAGAGATTTATTCTTCTCTCCACAAATTTCAGTAGTTGTTGTAATCTGGATCTTGGTAGCAGTCAGAGTCTTGGTAGTAGTCAAAAGGTCCTGAACTGCAGAAGTAAGATTAAAGCCAAGGGAAGATGTTGAAGGTTCCTGACCAAGTGTTGATGATGGAAAGGTATCTGTCTGCATTTGAGTAGTCATCAACTCGTCATTCTGGTCTGTGGTTTTTGGAATAAGATTTGAACTGTCTTCCGTGGTACTCTGCTTTTCACTTATATTTTGGGTATTGAGATCCAAGTACTGCTCAGACCAGAGAGAGTCAGTGTGGTTTGCTCTTATTTGCAAGGACAATGCAAAGATAGTCACAGCAATGAAAGCAAAATATGGGTTACAGTGCATTGCCAATTTCATGTTTCTATCCGGTACCTGAAAGAATATAAAAATATAGTATTAGCTTAATCAATGTATTCCTGAATTGATGATGGTTTGAACTGGAGCTCTCTTGAAATGTTAGGCGAATGCTATATACAATTATACCACTCTTTGCAGTAATTTGACTTCATGTATTTTGGGCATGTTATGAAGAGTTTAGCTACTTACATTCCAGAGTAGTACATGTTAGTGCTTGGTCTTCAGAATTATTAAATAGATTTCTATAGTGTGGGACTTAAGGGAAAAAATCTAAATAGTAAAAGAAAATGAAGAAGGGGTCATTTGAAATTGTGTGATGTGTACAAATGAGTGATACTGATGTAGCTCCTTTTCTTTAAGGCTGACCAAGTTACACCTTTGAATCAATCACTTCTACTTTTAGCACTACAGGAGAAAACAATCTAAGAAATGCTGTGTTTCTCACGTCCTACTCTTCTGAATGAGTATGAAGTAATTTTAAAGAGGGAGAAAATGTAGCCATGTTTAAAAACAAAAGATATAAATTTTACAAGATCTTGAAGATGACACCAGTAAGTTACTGCATACGCTTATATTAATTCATTAAAAACTGAATGCAGCTGGTAAGCATCTTTGTAAGTTTCCAGCAAATTTATGTTTTATTTTAAATTTACAGTATTTCAATTGATTTACTGGTCTTTGTGTCTCTCTTGAAAGAGAATTGTGTCCTTTTTCTATATTCTAGTATGAATGTTAGCAGCGCTGGAAGCATTAATTAACTTGAGTTAATTAATTTGTTTTTATTTTAATTCTTAATTATAATTGACAAATTTGAACTAAGCATTAGAGGCAGCCATCTTGCTAGAACAGGATTGAGTTTGAAACACAGTGAAAAGTCCAATTTGGCAGTGTCCAAGTTGCTTTAATATCAGTTATATAAACAAGAAACTTCTACAGTAGTTCAAACCAGAGTATTTTAAGTATAGTAGATATATTTTGGGGGATTGAAGTATATGTGAGATCATGCAACAGCATGTTTCCATTCTACAGTTGTACAGTAATTGTATTTGCCTATCATCTTCAGCCATAGAATTCAGCAAGAAGATAGGATGCTAATCTCCAAGTATACTTGATATAAAGGTGGTATCTTAAAAAATAAATCATGACAGGATAGGCAGGACATGCCATGCCTAATGCTTAGTGGGCTCTGGTATTGCATCTTTCCCACCTTTTTCCCCCACATGTAGTTTTTTATAGCTATCTGCTGTAGCCTAGGTCTTTATTTGTTAAGGAGCTAATCTCCAGCAGGCTTCTGAATTTGTAGAAAGTTCTTTGAAAGATTGAAGGCCGTTTATTATAAATTGTCCAGATGGACAGCGACTCACTTTCTAATATATGGTTCTAGAGTCTCTCAAAATGGGACCCAGTCTTGATTGAAACCCTTAATTGCTACCAACATACAATAATGAAGTATAAAAATTAACGTGAGTTTGCTTTGGATTGCACTGATACCCTATGTTGATTTTGTGTCAGTGATGTAATTTCTGCTAGGTTGCATACTTCAGTAAAATACCTGAAATTAGAGGCTGATAATCCATTATTATTACCAAGTTTCCCTGTTTTACTTGTTAATATTAGAAAATTGTACAGTTTCAAATATTATATAGTACTAAAGATTACTCAGCATTGTTCATGTCCTTAACTCAAATTAATGTTTTGGGGAAATAAAAGGAAAATGTACATACTTTATTTGAATCATTTTTGGCTGCCCCCAGGGTGAGAGCGCACTATCTCAGTCCCCTCTTATCTCAACAGTTTGGGGCCAGGGGAGAAGCACCTCTCCATGGCCACTGCAATTCCAGTGTGCACAGCTGGGGGAGGGGTGCATGTCCCCCAGCTGGGGCAGGTCCAGGTTTATCTGTCCCCTACTCTCCCTAGCCAGCCATGAGGAATGAAGGAAACTGTGCACTTTCCCTCCATCCCTAATGAAGGGAAACAGCCAGTAATGTTCCTATTCAAATGAGTAGAGGGGGGAGGGAGGCTGAAGCTCCCCACCGCCCCCAAAGGTTGCCTGGGAAATGAGATGCTCAGGGCTAGGGCAGTTCCAGATGGGGGGGGGGGGAATCGGCCCCTTTCACCTGCTTGGTGATTCTCTTTTCTGTGCAGTTTTATGAAAGACAGTCCTATTCCATGTGTATTCCAGTCACATCTCATTTTCCTGCACAACAACCCCTTACCTTGCTTATGAGGCTGAATACCAAATTTGGTGCTCCTAGCTCTTACCATTTCGGAAGAGTCTTTGAACACACAGATACACAGGCACACACAGGCAAACTTAAATATATAGTAGATGTTAAAATTGCAATGACTAAAAATATTATGGCTGTTCTCACAAATGTGTTAAATATTTAAACTACTGCTTTTAAGATTAGTGTGCTGAACAAAATACATTTTCTTCCACTCAGTATGCCAGACAAGATCTGTTTATTTTCAATCATAATCAAAAGTTATAGCATAACCACAGTATCTAATATGGGATTACAAATTTATAGAAAAGTGAACTTGCTGAAGGATTTTGGCATCTTCAGAAGCTGAATTGTGATGTCCCTCAGACGTGCCAGGGTCCTCCAGAAAGCGAGGCTAGGGGGATAGGTGTACTGTATGTTCCTGATATGTCTACTATTAAAAAGCAGATTTGAGTTTAAGGCTGGCTTCGTACATCATAAAGTAGTAGCAAAGGGCACAATTTTTTCCCTTCTGTAGTTCATATTTCTATAAAATTAAAGTTCCTGCTTTTCAAACTGAACTGAAAATGGGTTTCTCATATGCTGCAGCTGGGGTGGCATTTTTTAATCTGAAAAATGGTTCATATTGTTAGTAGAAAATGTCGCAAAAAAGTAGAAGAAAAAAGCTAAAGTAAAGCATGTAAATCATTCCCTCTAGCATGGACTACCTTTTTTAGGTATTTCAATAGGTTTGCCCCGGTACAGTTTCATTTGATACTATAATTGAAGGATCCCAAACACTTAATGTTTGCATAGTTGCAACAGTTCTTCTGGGTGCTTTCACTGGCGGTACAGTGAGCCCATTGTTAATTGTAGTGTTCCAACCCAGATGTATTGTTAAAAATAAACTTTGTTGACAAAATGTTAATGGCTTTACTTAACATCTCAAAAGCAAAGGAATTGAAAATTAAAGGTTATCTTTCTCTTTAATTTATCCCATTTGTGCTTAGGTATAGATAGATAGGTCTTCTGTGTGTATATATAGTCAGATCTACAATACATAGGCACAACAGAGCTAATAATGATTGACACTCTTAGTGCTTGCTTCAGACTGAAATATAAACACCTTTTCACATAGTATAACATTTGTATTTTTAGTAAGTTTCCTGTATTCAAGCTAAATAGGCTGGATGAAAAATACGTTTTCACTTCTTGATCACAGTTGTCGTACATGGGTATTAGTGACTTGTGTGAAGTTTTGTAAAAACATTTTTTGAATTACAACTTTGTAGAAATTCTAACAAACTCAGAAACAAAGTATAAGAAAACAAATATGGACTTACCTTGCCAGAAGTATGGTCAAAATCAGTTAAATTTCAGATTATTCTATTACTTAGCTATGCAGTTTCTTGATATTTTTCTTGGGGGAGGAGGTGTAACCGACCAGTAATATAAAGCAAATGGACTAGAAGGTGGTGATTTTTTTGAAAAAGTGAATCTAACTAAAATATGTAGTTGTATTTCCTCACTTAGAAAACCAAACCACAGAGATGACACATTTCCTTTCCACTGCAGCTCTACCATGACATGTTACAGGGGAGGAAGAATGCAACAACTTGCCCAAATTAGCTCTAGAATGACAGGATGTGCAATAGAAAAAAACATTTGTCTTTAGGGCAGACTCTCTACTTGCTGCACCATATGTAGGTTTACCTTTATGCCCATATTATTTCTCATAGGAATTGTATAAAAATGGTGTCTCCAGTGCACTTGGTGGTGTTTAATTTTTATTTTTTAGCATGTATTTGTGTGCATTTTGTCTTTTCTAGCAAAGCTGTAGAGTCCAGGGTATGGCAGCAGAGAGATGCGGTAGGGAAATGGAAGTGGCACAGATTTCCACAAGCTACTGTGGAGTTTGACTATAATTTGCGTTAACGGTACCTAATAACATAATATTTGACGTGTTAAAAATCTTGTGAATTAATTTTAGAAAATGTCTGTCCTCAAAGATGCATAGCAGATTTACTTCAAAATGAAACAAATAAGAACGTGCTGAAAGAGTTAGATGTTTTCAGAAAACCTAATCAGCACATTTATACTAGTTATTTGGCCATTCTGTCAGACAACCCATTAGGCAGTAGGATGCCAAGTTCCAGACTACAGCAAATGCAGCATGAGAGTCACAAATCCTTCAAAAGAGGGATTGTAGAGTAAATGTCTGAAGATGCTTAATTAGGGCAGCCTTGCTATTATAAATTACCTTTTTATGTTTCAATATGGGTGTAATTTCCAGGTGGGGGAAAGTAAATAAATTGGAGTTTGATGAGGAATCCTTGCTGAGATGATGATCCTCTCTACTTTGTAGAGAGAGAATCTAAACTGAATTATTTATGTGTAGTCCAATTTTGTTGCAATTGATATGCAGTTGCTCTGCAGCACATATTTTCTTCAACTGAGATGTTAAACACAGGTCCTCTCTGTTTATTTCTGGGGCTGCAAGGCTATAAATTAAATTACATGGCACTCATTCCAAAAAGAGGAGAGCTCCTCATTGTGAACCTTCTAATTCTCTGCCCCACATGATGGAGGAGCTAAAGTTTAATGGTAATGGATGCTATTTGCCTATTTTCTACATTGTTTTTGCAGATCCAGTACAGTTGTGTTAAAATATCTGGAGTATTACATGCAAGCTAAATATTTTTTTCCTCTCTTAACCAAGAGAAATGACAAACGTGTGATATTTTTTAAAATTTTTTTTTTTTAGGTTCAAGACCGGTCAGATCAATGGTGATTTATTAATATACCATGTTCTACTAACTTTGAAGCCATACTATGCTAAGCCATATGAGATTGTAGTGGACCTCACTCACGCCGGACCCAGCAATCGCTTTAAAACAGACTTCCTTTCCAAGTGGTTTGTAGTTTTTCCAGGTTTTGCTTATGAAAATGTCTCAGCTGTTTATATTTACAATTGCAACTCTTGGGTCAGGGAATACACCAAATACCACGAGAGGCTTCTGACAGGCCTGAAAGGCAGCAAAAGGCTTATTTTCATAGACTCTCCCGGGAAATTGGCAGAGCACATTGAAAATGACCAGCAGAAACTTCCAGCTGCTACCTTGGCTTTGGAAGAAGATTTGAAAGTGTTTCACAATGCTCTCAAACTGGCCCACAAAGACACCAAAGTTTCTATTAAAGTAAGTCTCATTTAACACCCTTCCTATTGAATTGCTTGTATAATTTGGCATTATAGATCTGCATGCTATTAAGTCTTAGGGAGAAATCATGACCAATGTAGTTCACCCATCACACTGGTAAATATCACTCCTTTGTTATTCAGATTACAGCTACTCATCCTCCCCCTTTAACAAATGGTGATATCAGATCTTGTTCATTCTTCATATTCTTAGCTACAGCTACTAAATTATACTTTTTCTTTCCTTTCTAAGGTTGGGTCTACCGCTGTGCAGGTAACATCAGCAGAACGAACAAAAGTCCTGGGACAGACAGTGTTTCTAAATGACATTTACTATGCCTCTGAGATTGAGGAGATATGTCTAGTTGATGAGAACCAGTTCACCTTAACCATTGCCAACCAAGGCACACCACTCACCTTCATGCATCAGGAGTGTGAAGCCATCGTTCAGTCCATCATTCACATACGGACTCGATGGGAGCTGTCACAACCAGACTCCATCCCACAACATACTAAAATCCGCCCTAAGGATGTCCCTGGAACACTACTGAATATAGCATTGCTTAACCTGGGAAGCTCAGACCCTAGTTTACGGTAGAGATCTCTTACCCCTTATCTTGACCAAAATGTGTGATAATTTATTTCTAAGGTTTCCCCATTAGTAAGTATTTTGCAACAATCATAATTGTTTTCACCAAAGCTCCACAAACTTTAAATTTACCTAGGAATAACGTTAATGGTTCCCCAAAAAAGATCAGCTACTACATGGTGGGAAAATGAAGTGTAAATTGTGTGAACTGTAAAAATTTTGGACATCTTTTATTCTGAAAACCCTCTTTATAATTGTAAAAAGAAATATTTCAATTTTGAAGGATGAAATCTCATATGGTTGTTTGCATGCCAGTTTGCTTCATTTAGCTAATCTTAAAACCCTGCACATCTTTCTCCTGGTTTTGTTTTTAAAAACAAACTAGAATTTTGTTTGGGAGACCTTGTGGCTCTTTTGCCACTAAAAAGAGGAACTAGCATTAGTAAGATACATATTAGAGCTGGCTGGAAAATTTCCCAACTGAACATTCTTCCAGTGGAAGAGGCAGATTCATCTAAATCAAAAAGTTCTGTGGAAGCATCCCAGTTCTGACAGAAGCCAGGTAGGCTTCCCATGGAACCCTGCTTGCAAGGCAGGTGACTGTCACAAGCCTGGTTTCCTGCCAGGTTAATCACTTGGCAGGCTGACAAAGTGCTGAGCATCTGGGAGCTTTTTGGGCTCTCAACATCCCACAAGGCCTGATTTCCAAGCTTCTCAGGATCTCTGGGAGGGGGCCTAGAAGCCCTGCATCTCAGGCTCATGACGCCAGGGCTGACCACCAGAAAAGCTGCCTCAAAGCTATCTCCTCCAGGGTCGCTGGCTCTAACCTGCCAGGTGGAGGGTGGAGTATCTCAAAAGCGGGTCTTCCAGGCTCCCCAAAGTGCAGGACTTTTGGCGGTGAGGGAGGGGAGGCCTCAGACATTTCAAAAAGGTCTGTGTGATTGGGGAATTTCTGCTATGTGGGAAATTCAGAAAGTCCAGTTTTTCTTCAGTTTGGGAAGGAATATATTTTGAAATGTCAGAACTCATAATGGGAATTCCAGTTTCTAGCCAGCTCTGTATAGGTGTTTGTACTTACATATATACACAGTATAATATAGCTAAACATGTCATTTAATCTTTATAGGCTATGTTGTTCTGTGCATGAGAATATTTCCAGCAGTCACTTTTAATGCACATGAGTTGCCTTATTGCCATTACTGTGTAAAATGATCTGGGTAAGATATAAGCACATTAATATTACTTGGGCAGTAATTGAGAGACTTTCCCAAGAATGAACTGGTTTTAGTCCATCACAGAAATACCCTAAATTCAAATGTACACACTGATTTTATATTGATTGGAAAAACCATTGATCAGACTTTTGCTTGGTAGTCCTCTTCTCTCCTCTTCCTTCCTCCCTCTCTCCATATCATTCTAATCTGTTTCATCCAAGAGTAACTGGACATGGAGCCTTTCAGTGATGCTCTTTCAATTTGTCAGAAAAGGTTTATTGAAAGAAGGAGCTTTCTATGGTGCTGGCAGTCCCTGAAAGGAAGGAATTAAGTTCAGGGCCTATAGTCCTGATTCCCTTGGCATGGCAACAGTAGACTGAATTTTAAGAGACATGAATACTATTCTTGTATTGTTTTTAATAGAAGTATTTATTGTGTACAATTTTTTTTAGACGCATAGGAAAATGTTTTTAAATTGCATCACGTATGCTTTTTTGCAGGTCTGCTGCCTATAATCTTCTGTGTGCCTTAACCTGTACCTTTAATTTAAAGATTGAGGGTCAGTTACTGGAGACTTCAGGTCTTTGTATCCCTGCCAACAACACCCTTTTTATTGTGTCTATTAGTAAGACTCTGGCAGCTAATGAGCCACACCTTACCTTAGAGTTTTTGGAAGAGTGTATTTCTGGATTTAGCAAATCTAGTAAGTAGCTTTCATTTTCTCTAACACTAACAATGAATTTGAAATGGTTCAAACTCTTCAGTTCTATTACAGAGTTAGTAAATGTCTTCATCTTATTGAGTCAATCCATCAGCATATTAGGCTTCAGTTAGAAATGCAGCCTAAAGCATCTGCAGGTGCTTTTCAAGTTTATTCTTTGCTAAAAGATTGACCTGGGTCTGGGGCCAGTCCGGGTGGGAGAGGGAGGCGGAGCAGGAGGGGAGGAGGGCACACAGGCTGCCTGCCAGCTTTTTTCCAAGGTGGGGTATGTAGGCCTCCTTCGAGTTGCTCCCTAGAGTCAGGCCAAAGTGGCGATGGTGTGTTGTGAGCAAGACACAAGAAGCCATTCTTCCACTCTACTTTGCACTGATTTGGCCTCAGTTGGAGTACTGTGTCCAGTTCTGGGCACCGCATTTCAAAAAAGATGTGAACAAGCTGGAGAAGGCCCAGAGAAGAGCAACACAAATGATTAACGGTCCAGAAAACATGAGCTATGAGGGAAGACTGAAAGGATTGGGCTTGTTTAGTTTAGAAGGGGCATGATAGTAGTTTTCAAGCATCTAAAAGAGTGATAATTTCATGGAAGTTAGGTCCATACAAGGCTATTAGCCAGGGGATAGAAATGGTGTCCTCTGTTTGTCAGAGGCTGGAGAAGGATGACAGGAGACAAATCGCGTGATCATTGTCTTCGGTCCACCCTCTCTGGGGCACCTGGCGCTGGCCACTGTCTGCAGACAGGCTCCTGGGCTAGATGGACCTTTGGTCTGACCCAGTACGGCCGTTCTTATGTTCTTATGTTACTGTTACAAGGAGGAGGGAGACAAATTGTTCTCCTTGACCTCTGATGATAGGACAAGAAGCAATGGGCTTAAATTGCAGCAGGGGAGGTTTTGGTTGGACATTAGGAAAAACTTCTTAACTGTCAGTGTGATTAAACACTGGAATAAATTGACTAGGGAGGTTGTGGAATCTCTATCACTGGAGATATTTAAGAGCAGGTTGGATAGACATCTGTCAGGATGGTGCTTGATCCTGCCATGAGGGCAGGGGGCTGGACTTGATGATTTCTCGAGGTCCTTTCCCGTTCTAGTGTACTGTGTTTCTATAGCCATGTGGCAGTGAGCAGCTATTCCCTGAGGGCAGTCTGGGACAATGGGGGCCATGCTGCTGGTCAGCAGCTGCTTGCTGCGGTGCTTGCTGCCCCATGTGATCATTTATGAGTATAACTGTCCCCGCTATCACACCTCTCCCTTTCTGTTTGATGCAAAACAATTGCATTCCATGCACATCCTATTGTCCTGACACAACCAAACCCTGATCGTGCTTTAGGTTACGATAAGAGGAAGCTGCATAGCAAATTTGGTGGTCCTATCTTTTACTGTTAAAAGGAGTTGTTGAACAAACGGACAGGCAGGCACACAAACTGTCTAAAATGTATAGTAGATATGTGTCCTAACCAGCAGATTGAGAAGTGCTCTGGAATCAAGCGGTGTCAAGATACAGCCTGGAATCTGGTAGTGTGGAGAACAATGTAAAGACAAAAGTACTTCTTTCACAGAACTATTTAAACAGTGCTCTCTTTTATAGAATCAATGTCTAAAAGATTCTTTTGGTGTTAAGACAAATTGTACAAGTGGTTTGTAATTTATAATAATATTTGTTTAGAAATATCTTACTGCCTATTAGTTCTTTTACACCAATACTGAAAATTCTGTACAATGGCATTTTGTGTTCTCTGGTGAGGATTACTTTAGCATCATGAGTTCACTAGTAATAAACACAAATCATATTGAGTTCAATGATGGTGACAAAGCCTGAAGTCTAGAAAACATAGACCCAGAAGATATGCAGGGTCTTTTCTCTACACACATTATTAATCTAAAGGAAACATAAAGGCTATGAATTCTTATCCAGGATCTGTGCTCTCTGGCCTTGGTAGAGTCTTACTACATAGCTGTCCTTTTTTTCCTTGTGTAAAAATGGGATTATAATACTTCACGTGAGTGTTGAAAATTAAGATTTTTGAAAGCACGTTAAAGATGAAAGTGCTGTGTACATTCTAAATATTAGTATGTTTATGAACTTAGAGCCCCTTTCTCTCACATCTTTTCAGCATGAATTAAGATATCACTTTTATTTCCAGGTTCCTAAAGATTTCTTAGATGTTACTAGTGAGAAAACTATTTCTTTTCACAGCTTGTCCTTTTGCCCAATAATCCTAGTTCTCATCTTTTACCAATTTTTTTGTCCAGGTACCTAGACTTTATTTTAGATAATAAAATTGTAAAGAAAAGTGCTTGCAAATAATTCTTGCAAAGACGAGACCAGAAATGGCGTTTTGTAACAACAATGTCTTTTTTTTTTTTTTTCCAGGTATTGAACTGAAACACCTTTGCCTGGAATATATGACTCCCTGGTTGTCAAATCTGGTGCGATTTTGCAAACACAATGATGATGCCAAACGCCAGCGAGTCACTGCTATTCTTGATAAGCTTATAACAATGACAATAAATGAGAAACAGATGTATCCTTCCATTCAAGCGAAAATATGGGGGAGTCTTGGACAGGTACTAGACTGCATAAATTCATCACCTTTAAACAGTAAAGTGTAAATGTAATTACAGGCTGTAATCCACTAATCCCCTCTTTTTTTGTCCTATGACTGCATGGTGTCAGTGGACCACTTCTCCTGGAATGGTCCTTTGATATGTGTTAGCTACTTTGCTTAATCTGTTCCACCCCAAGCTGTTATGCTCTGGTCTGGTCTACACTACAGAGATAGTTTAACTTAAGGCACTTGTGTCGACCTAGCTCCCTAAGCATCTATACTACAGTGAGATGTAAGTCACCCATTGCACTGACCTAATAATGCCACCTCGGCAAAAGGCACAGCACTTAAGTGGATTTAGTTAGATCAGTGCAATGTTAGCATATGCACTGCATCAACCATTCTAGCTGTCAGCCACTGACAAATCAGTGCAAGCATTCCTGGTGAGGGCATGTTGTTGTTATCGGGCAAACACAGAGAATATGGAAGGTAAGGGGTGAAATCTTGGCTTTGAGGTCAGTGGAGTTTTGCCATTGAATTCTATGGAGCCAGGAATTTATCCAAGTTCGTAGATGGTGAAAACTACAATGGATTTAAACCAGCAGCTAAACATTATGGGTAGCCTAACTCAGTGATTAGTACTGTTTTGTCTGGTTAGTTAAGAAGAAATATTCTTTGCACTGTGACTTGTATTAAACATGTAGCTTTCTCACAACATAAACGTTCTTGCAAGATGTGAGTTATGGTTTTCTTGGTAGCTAAGATCATGCATGGCTAATGGTCTAGGCAATAACTTACATCAACTATAAGACCTCTTCTTGCTTTTTAAAAAAGAAAACAAGATTTACTTTACCTCCAAAATCCCAGTTGTTTAATTTACAAATTATGTTGCTCTAAATAATACATTAACAGCTTAGATTCAAATTGCATCTAGAAAATGATGCAAATCAAGTCCTCACAACCTAAGTATGCAGCTGTGAAGTGCACACACTTAATTTATATTAAAACTTGATGGGCTTTGTCTTAATTCCGATGTAACGCCATGTAAACATTATGTTAAATTAAGCATGGTTCTTCATTGAAAAATCACTGAAACTGGTGCTGTGATTTCCACCGCAAATGTACAATCAAGCAATAGAACTAAGTGGTCACTTGTCTAGTAGGCTGCTTAATACAGACTGTTGCACCTGAATTTCATTTGACTGACATTAACAAGCAAATGATGACAACCTATTTTCTCCAATAGATAACAGATCTACTTGATGTAGTGCTGGACAGTTTCATCAAAACCAGTGCTACTGGGGGGTTAGGATCCATAAAAGCTGAGGTTATGGCAGACACAGCTGTAGCACTCGCTTCTGGAAATGTGAAATTGGTTTCAAGCAAAGTAAGTACTCCCGTTCCTTAACTTACCTTTAAGTCGATCAACAGTTTCACACTGCTCTTTGGTACCTCTCTAAGCAATGGTACAGTAGCATTTTAAAATATGTTCTTAACAGAATCCTGGTCAAGTTTAAATGTAAAGTGTGAGTGAAATTTTGAGCCCAGTTTTTGCTAACTCAATGAAAATGTTTGTTCCCTTTCAGGTAATTGGGAGAATGTGCAAAATAATCGACAAGACTTGTCTGTCTCCAACTCCTACATTAGAACAGCACCTGATGTGGGATGATATTGCCATTCTAGCACGTTACATGCTGATGCTCTCCTTTAACAATTCTCTTGATGTGGCAGCACATCTCCCCTACCTCTTCCATGTAGTTACTTTGTTGCTCATCAACATCATTCATTCTCTGTGCACCTGCTCACAACTTCACTTTAGTGGTAAGTTCTTACGAAATATTAAGTTGATCACTTAGTAGTTTACTTTGCGTTTGCTAATGTCTCCCTAAGCTGTTCCTGTCCCTTTCTCCCTACTTCATTTCTGTGATGCTACTGTATCCAAGACCACAGGTGGGTCTACAGTGTTGTATTATCAGACGACTAGTAAAGCTGAAGCCTAAATCAGTACTACATCATGGCTGAGGCCAAAGCTTTCTTGACCAATGGCTACAGTGGAGTGGTAGGAATTTATTACCTGTGATGGGCGTAAGTTTAGAAGCATGTATAAAGAGAGACACTATATCCTAACAATAGTTAATTATAAGATAATTGTTTTGTGGTATACAAAGCAATAATAAAGTGGCTGAGATCGATAGTTGAAACGAAAGTGAATCATTTAATCAATTTCTTCTATTCATTGTGGATATTAGTGAGCAATAAAGATGAATCTTTTATAATACTAGGATGTATTTCAAAACCTCAGAAGAGAAAGTGCTGTGTTACTGTTTTGCAGCTTTGGCAGGGACTGCCTCAAGGGTAAAATGAGGTTTGGGCTAAGGCCTGATTAGCTGATACAGGGCAGGTCTTTAATGTAAATGTAAATAATGATTAAAGGGAGTGGCTTGTTTGGAAAAGGGCTGATGTGGGCATATTATCAACAAGGATTTTCATGAGATAAAAAGGAAAATGGCTGTGTTCTAACTGGCTAAAATTCTTTTGTTGAATAAATGTAGAGAATAGCAGGTAGCCAAAATGTCACTTGTATAAGACATTTGTGAAACTAAAATATTAGCGGATATCATATATCCTATTTTTCAATGATCCCAAGATAAAACTTACTGTGAGAACCAACAGTTAAACCCATTAGGGAGTAGGGATGTAAACAGTTACCAGTAAGCATCACTCTTACCAGGTGATGCTTACTGATAACCAGCTCAGCTGGGACCACCACACCATGGCATCACAGTTAAGCGTTTAAACCAGTTCACTGATTAAATGAGATTTTACATCCCTATTAGCAAGGATATCTTCATATTATCACAAAATTGCAGGTATAAAAGCATATTATAGGAACCTTAATCATTCCAAAATTTTGTGCATAAATGAGGGCCATTTTCCAAGAATCTGAGAGCCTGTTGCATATACTCAGGGCTCGACAATCTTCTACTTGCCCGTGGCGAGTAGATTACAACCCGGAAGAGCCGGGTTCGGGCAATCTGCGCATGCGCAGTACAATCTACACATGCGCAGATCACCGGACAGCATGGCTGACGAGCAGGGCTCGCCGCAGCTCGGCGAGCCCTGCATATTCCAAAAATTAAGCTTCACAATATCCCAGAGACATAGGTAGTTATCTCTGTTTTACTGATGGGTAAACTGAGGCATAGTGCAGCAAAAGGCCAGATTTATAAAAAGTGTTGAGTATCCACAAAAGGGATAAGATTTGTAAAAGAGCTCAGCTTCCATTTAGACATTCAAATGAAATGGCCCAATTTTTACAAGTGCTCAGAACTTACAGCCCCTATTCAGAAATTTGGGGCCTAAATAACAAGTATAGTACTCAGCAGCACTAACTCCCAGTATCAGGTTTTAACCTTTGAATAAGATGTTCTTCACCCTTTTCATTCTGTGACCCACCTCAGAGAGAACTATCCCCTTAACCAAATTCACTCAATTCCCTGCTGCTTGTTTTCAAAATATTTATTTCTCCTGGCTGCATTTTGAGAATCAGAACACAAGGTCACGCACCTAGTAGCATAAGTACAGGACAATGGCATATAAAACAGTATTAAAACAGGCAGAACAATACACAAAGGGTTTTTTCTCCCCATGTGCAAGTGGTCTACTTCCTAGAATACATGCTTACACCTTAAAAATGGGCTCTTGGTCTTGAAGGTACTTTTGGAAATGTGGGATGGGATTCGATGTATTAAATGCAACTTGTAAATTCTTAATTAACAGAAGAGACGAAGCAAGTTTTGAGACTCAGCTTGACAGAGTTCTCACTACCCAAGTTTTATTTGCTGTTTGGAATCAGCAAAGTGAAATCAGCAGCAGTCATAGCATTTCGATCCAGTTATCGGGATAGGTCATTCTCTCCTGGTTCTTATGAGAGGGAGACGTTTGCACTGACTTCTCTGGAAACAGTTACTGAAGCTCTGCTGGAGATCATGGAGGTACGATTTATAAGACAGTGACACTAATAAAAACCCTGTGACAGATCACGTAGTATTGCATATATAGATGTTGGCTTCCTGTCTAGACTTAGCACTAAAGTGCTTAAATAAGGAATATATCTGAGAATTAAAAGCAGATACATATTTTAAATAGAATAATGCTTTTGCTTAAGGTCACATGTATTCAATATCTTTTTTTAGGCTTGTATGAGAGATATTCCAACATGCAAGTGGCTGGACCAGTGGACAGACCTAGCACAAAAGTATGTTGTGATTCACAGAACTTAACCTATAAACTGCATGTGTTGTAGATGTGCAATTCTCACTTATGGAAACAAACTTATGAATACAACTTACTTCTCTTTCTCCCAGGTTTGCATTCCAATATAATCCATCTCTGCAACCACGAGCACTTGTCGTCTTCGGCTGCATCAGTAAACGAGTGTCTCATGGGCAAATAAAACAAATAATCCGAATTCTTAGCAAGGTATATGGTTCTTTGTTTTTCCTGTTGTAACTCATGGAATAGCTCCTTTAATGGCCAAATAATTGTCTTTCTATTAAATTTTGGATTCAGCAGTATTTAATGATGAACACATTTTCAAGTGAATTGTTATGCTGAACAAGGAATTGAAGCATAATTGAAAATCCAGAGAGAATTTATCTCTGAATTTGGAGCATTGCATTGAGATTAAATCAAAGAGCTCAGTACTTAGCTGTGTCTGTGTAACTATGAAGGAAGCATTCTACATTTACCAGCTGTTAAAAGCAAAGTCACGTAAGGAGAATTTGAATGACTTGCATACCATTTATGCAAGTGAAATATTTTAAAACTATGCCGTTAGCTTGGCAGTGGTGCCCATGATACCAAACCTGATCATATAGCTGTATTTAATTAAAGGTGACCTGCATAACAAAAAGATTAGTTGCCTTTGAGCATTTCATTACTCAAATTTTGTACACCTAAAATTTGGGTGAACAGTGTCTGAAATATCAAGACTGCTCAGTCCTTCTAATATAATACCTCCATGGATCCTTTAACAGTATAGCATCTTAACTGTTTTAATATGCACCATGTCATGTTTTCTAGGTTTGTCACACTCACTGACCATCCTACAGAATCCTTTTAAAACCAGTTTAAGCTTTTCAAAACCTAATCAAAACTGCAGTTAATGATTGATTTAGAACTTTAGTCTTTACATCCTGGGTTTGATAAAAATTAAATGTTTGGAGTTTTTTTCCCATTTTTCCAAAAAGGGACTTGAGAGCTGTTTAAAGGGGCCTGATAATTACAACAGCCAAGTTCTTATAGAAGCCACGGTTATCGCACTAACCAAGCTGCAGCCACTTCTTAATAAGGTAAATAACACTGATAAACCTTTAAATGTGTTGTATAAATGAAAACTATAAATGTGTTTAACCTCAAAAATATCTTAATGAAAATTGTGAATTTAATCTCTGGAGGAAACACCAATGTCATCAGTTTGTATTTGTGACTCTGTGCAAAAACTAGAAAACCCAAGCTTGCATATGATTGTCTGGTGAAGCAGAATTATAGGCCAAAGCCACAGCAAAGCTTAAAAGGAAGTTATTTCATGATCTCTCTGGATCCCTTTAGGTTTTTTGACATTCAAATCTGTGATTGCTGACACAGGTCTTCTGGTTCATGGCTTGTCATAAAAGCTAGTCTCGTTTGTCTTGAAATATTCCAGTCATCAAGTTCATGACTATCAACACAGGCAGTTTGCATACAATTATGAATCTCTGTAAAATTTCCTTGTGGAGTAGTATTGCACACGCCCTCAAAGGGGGACATTAAATTTGAAAATGGGGTAAAGCTTTTGAATCTGGGGATTCCTGGAAGAGGGTGGCTACTTCTGTAAAGTGTCTTCTGCTTTTAATGATCTTGTAAATATGTTTTAAAGATAAATTAAATTTCCATCAATTTTCTAAGTATTTGCCTTCGGGAGGCATGTTAATGTAATGTTAATCTTCCATACACATCAGAGAAGATACACAAAAATTGGTGATCTGTCTGCAAGATCTTCTGGTGAAGTTACCATTTGATATTTCATCCTTATCTTAGTAACTTTATTTCATATTAGCAGCATTATCTCTTTAGCCAACTGGATGGCATTATGTAGCATTTAGAATTAACAGTGAGTTGCAGGAATTATTAGTCTCAGGTTCAGTTTTATGTTGGTATACCATGAACTTACGTTTTAGTACTGAAGTTTAATTCACAGATTTAAGGTAAAGACAGTGAAGGCCACGTAGACTTTAGAAATTCTGCTTTATTTCATTTTAAATTTGTTTGACTCTACCTCAGTAAAATACAAAGCTGGTGACTTTGGATCCGGATCCTGCAAATCTTGCATGCATGCATGCATCTCTGGTAATTTCACGCACAGAGGACAGAATTAGCTCCCCAATATGTTTGTCAACTATAAGGAAGACGACATCTTAATAAAAACCTCTGTTTGGGAGTCCTGAATTAGTTGAATGCTCACTTGCCCAGCAGGTCTTTGAGACTGGGGCTCTAATGACCAGACTAGTTTGACCTACCGCATTATGGTCATATCTTTTGGAGTCTAGACTTGGTATTGAACACAGATACAATGCTCATTTGAAAGAATGGAATGAATGGGGAGGCACCAGTCATAAAGAATGATTCTTGCGACTGATTCTTCTGTGGTACTTAGCACATCCATCTTGAATACAACTGCTTGGCGAATGCAAATAACAGACCACTGCCAATCAAGGATGGCTTAATAATGCCTGTCATATACAGGATTACCAGGATACATTGTATCCTGTTTTATTCATTTCCAGAAACTGTTTTGAAATTAAAATCACTAATATTTTTCCCTAGGACTCTCCTATGCACAAGGCCCTCTTTTGGGTGGCAATGGCAGTGCTGCAGCTAGATGAAGTTAACCTTTATTCAGCAGGTACAGCACTACTTGAACAAAATCTGCACACCTTAGATAGTCTTCGGGTATTCAATGACAAGGTAAGTGATCCACCCAGTAGTAAACTGTGTGAGCAGCCCTGAATGTACTGTGCATTCTTAACTTTGAAAGCTAACACATCTGTGTATATGCCTCTGTGTTGAACAAAACAGTTGTGTGAAAAGAGCTGGTCACTAGTAGTCTCACTTGCAAGGAAATCAGTATTCCAACATTTCATAATTTAACCCTACCTATGAAACCTCTCATTAATTAGGGATGTTATTGTGTAGCAACTGCACAATTAACCAATAAGTCTGGGCTTATCGGTTAATCTTGTTGACTACACGCATCCTCCTCAAGGGATGGTAGGAAATCAAGAGCTGGTTCCTGTGAGGAGCTGTTTTAAAAGCTGCCTCCCCAGGACCACCAGAGCCCTTCCCTGCTACCCCCTGCACACATCGGCTCCCACAGACTTACCTGGCTCCCCCTGTTGAGACCTCCTACAGAGGCAGGGAGAGACAGGA